TCTCACCCAATGTAGATGCAGCCCCAATAATCAGTCTTTACCTGTCCCCATAACCCATCATATCTGAACTGCCATAGGGAGCTTAACCACTGCCCTACCTACTTTGAAACCCTGTTTCAGGACCAACAAGACACATGTGGATGCCCAGCAAGGGGCAAAAACTGGGAAAGCAAGAACTTCTCCCCTTTCAATTACTAGTGAGGCAACTGAGACCCCTACTATTTTCTCCCTAATAATGACATCTAGGTCTCAGTTGTCTTTCAGCTCCAGGCACCGAAAAGCAGCAAAACCAGACAAGTGATGCTGTGGCAGCTTCAGGACCAGCTTTTACCTCCCAAGTGACTCAACAGGATCGCTCTCAAGACTTCAGCAACCAGTCTCTTGGAGAAATCATGCTGCTGCACACCCCTCAACCAGCACGGAAAAACTACCTGTTTTTTGCTCAATACCCCATGGCTCCTCCCGCTATTAGGCCCACTGGTATCTTACTCTTAATCTTGCTCTTTGGCTAAGGTGACCAGATTTTAACATTGGTAAAGCGGGACACCAATGACCGATTAACTGGGGGGGGGGGGGGGGGGAGTGTTCTTGATTAAAAATTTGGTCTATATGGAGCAACAAAAGATGTTATAGAACACAAAAATAGTATCTTAATATATTTTTAAAATTTCAACATAAGTACAATTTACAAATATAATTTAAAAAATTATGTATAGTATTATTTTATTCTTAGGCACATTTCTCATTTGAGTGAATTTTTTTTAGTAGATTGCTGTCATGGTTTAAAAGGTCATGAATTTTTTCACAAGAAAAATGTATAATAGGCAATTCATTCTCTAGTGCAGGACACTTGGGTAGCTTCTCATTTTTACTATTATAGTTAATGCTGCGATGAACATCTTTGTGCAAAACAAAATGCCTCCAATTTGAACTATGACTACAGAGTAACCCTAGAAGGTTGACTGTGATGGATTTTGATTGTGCTTGAAGGTTTTCTGAAAGAATGGAGGAGTCCTCAGGTCTTTGTCATCTCTTTACCTCCACATCAGGTGGCCTTCGCCCTTTTTCAGTCTTCCTTATGTCTCTCCCCGGGTTGTTGGGATGGGGTTCATGGAGGAGAGGCACTTTGAGTTTTCCTTAAAAATCGGGTAGAGTCTGGACACGCTGACGGGCAAGGCATGGGTGATCATTTGTGGAGACCACCCAAGCGCAGGCACATTGAAGAAGAAAGTAGGCTTCTCTGGAGAACTGCGGAAGGGGAAGCTTAGAGAAAAGACAGAGAGGTACGAATGAGGCTGGAGGAACAAGTAAAGTCCACACAGTAGGCAACCTGACAGGGCAGAAGAGGCACTTAAGGTTTCTGAGCAGGGGTTGGGGAGTGGATAGCGATTGTTTTAACCCGTTTTATACCCCGTCTCCCCTCTTCTGGTACCAGAACCTGGTGTGTTTTGTTTTGTTTTGTTTTGTTTTGTTTTGTTTTGTTTTGTTTGCAGGGGGAACACCCCGGTATCAGGCATCATTCTAGATCCACACGACCCATTCTGGGGGAATGCATAGCCCAAAGCAGCCAGTCAACATGTTCTTTCTTCCCTAGGTACTGAGATTAATTCAGGAATAAGCATGTGACACAAAGCATAATCCACTACACCTTACTCAAATTATTGGAAAAGAAACTCTACTCTCTGGTGGATTATTTTATCCTTTTTATACAGTATTTTTTTATTGAAATCAATAAAAATATATTTTTAGTCGAAACCGGTTTGGCTCAGTGGATAGAGCATCTGTCTGCAGACTGAAAGGTCCCAAGCTCGATTCCGGTCAAGGGCATGTACATTGGTTGTGAGCACATCCCCAATAGGGGGTGTGCAAGAGGCAGCTGGTCGATGTTTATGTTTCTAGCTCTCTATCCCTCTCCCTTCCTCTCTGTAAAAAATCAATAAAATATAATTTTATAATAAATTATATAATAATAAAATTAAATAATAAAATATAACATATATATATATAGTTCCCAAAGGCCAAAGCTAGAACAATTTGAGAAAAAAAATAAAGTATATCTGATTATAATCTAAAGTATAAAATAAATACCCATTTGTTCATCCTAATAGAAATGGTTGGGTAAATAAACAAACCTTCCATGCAGAATTCCAAATAATTTAGATACTTCTCCACTCCTAAAATGTGGGCTGTGCATAGTGAATTCCTTCCAAAGAATTACAATACGGCTTGGAGGAGAGAAAAACAAGTTTACAGTGGAGAAACCTGGCAGACTACCTTAGTGATCCAAGGCAACAACAACAGTGACAAGTCATTCTGATAGTATGTGTCTAGTGATAGTACCCTTCCCATGACGTGATAAGTGGCAGTTACTTCCATGGTCTTCCTCCCCAAAACCCATAACTTCACTCCAATCATGAGAAAAACACACAAAACAAGAGAGGCATTCCATAAAATACGTAACCAGTACTCCTCAAAACTGTCACGATTATCAAAAACAAGGAAAATCTGAGAAACAGTCACAGAGGAGAGGAGTCTGAGGAGTTATAACAATTAAATGTAATGCAGTATCCTGGATGGGATCCTGGAACAGAAAAGAAAAAAAAAAAAAAAAAACTAAGAAAAAAAAACTTTAAGCAAAAAAAATGAAGAAAATCTACATAGAGCATGGATTTTAGTTAAAAATAATGTATCAATATTGGTTCATAATTCTAACAAAATATATTAGTACAAGATGTTAATAACAAGGGAACTGGATTGGGGTACATAGAAACTCTCACAGATTCTGCACAAATTTTCTATAAATCTCAAACTTCTAGAAATTAAGCTTTTTTAAAATTTACAAGGTCAATTTTTTAAAAATGTTTTATTGCTTTCAGAGAGGAAGGGAGAGGGAGACAGAAACATCAATGATGAGAGAGAATTCTTGATTGGCTGCCTCCTGCATATCCTCTCCCCGCTCTCCCCCCCCCCACCCCACCCCATCCCCCGGGATCAAACCTGCACCAAAGCATATGCCCTTGACCAGAATGGAACCCAGGACCCTTCAGTCCGCAGGCCAATGCTCTACCCACTGAGCCAAACCAGCCAGGGCAGTTAAGGTTTTTTTTGTTTTGTTTTGTTTTGTTTTGTTTTAATAATACTTTCAAAACTACAATATCTCTAAGCCATCTGGATAGTAAAAAATAAAACTTTAACACACATCAGAATAACCTAGAGAATTTGTTGAAGCATATTGTCAGGCTTCACCACCAGAGTTTCTGGTGTAGGAGGTCTAGGGTGGCACTAGAAAATGTTCATTTATAATAAAGAACCAGGTGCAGCAGCAGCTTCTGTTCCAGGGATCACACCTGAAGAAACTCAGGTGTAAACTCCAGGATTAAAACAATGAGGAACGCCCATCCTATCCAGCAGGTGGAGACATTTGGGGAGCACTCCTTGGAAATTTCTCAGGGACCCTTCCAGAGCCCAGGGGAAGCCCCATTTTCTACTCTACCTTCCACCCCTCCTGCTTCATCCTAAGGCTCAATGACTTAGCAGTACACCAGTGAGGTAGAAATGCTTTAGACCAAGCCAGCAAGGTATCCAAGAACTTCCAACATAGTGAGGGTCTCTGAGAGTAAACAATTGCTAAACAGAACGAGAAGTAGCGCTAAATGCTTGAGGAACAAAGCAGGATTGGAAGTGGCTTGAATGTGGAGAATTTGAAGTGTCAAGGGTCAGGAGATAAGGAGTGACTGCAATGATTTGGAGATCACCAAAAGAAGGTGGCAAGCATATTCTAATCTGGCTGTGGAACAGGACACACTAGGCACAGGGGTCTAACAGCTCTTGACTTTTCAGGAAATCTGTAAACTGAACACCAGGTGGAAGTCCAACAGTTCCACTTGGATATGTGCAATAGAGAATTATCATTCCCATTTAAAAAAAACAAAAACTAAACAAAAAACAAAAAACCTCTTAAATGTTAAGCAATTTGCCTAAGGCCATCCAACTAGTAAGTAAGCAAGAAGAACCAGTTACCAAACTGGCATTTAGAAGGCTCGCTCAGTCCAAGTCTGCGGATGGCCTCACACACAGCTGTGCCCCTGATGACAGGTTTTGTCCTCCTGCCTTTTCCCAGCTAGTTTCCCCCCCCCCCCCCTTTATCTCTTCCTTTTTTTAAATAGGATTTTGTACAGAGAGGAAGGGAGAGAGATAGAGAGTTAGAAACATCGATGAGATCAGCTGCCTCTTGCACACCTCCTACTGGGGATATGCCTGCAACCAACGTACATGCCTTTGACCGGAATCGAACCCGGGACCCTTACAGTCCCCAAGCCGACGCTCTATCCATTGAGCCAAACGCCGGTCTCGGCCCTTTCTCAGAACTTTTTCTGTGACTCATGAGCAAGGTCAGGAGGCCACAATCTCAGGATCTCTCCCACCGCTTGCCGGCACTGTGTAACCTAAGCCCAGACAGAGATGTCTGCTTTGGCATGTCCGGCCTCCTCCAGATTGCTGAGGGCTAAACAGCCAAGCCACACCCGGAGCTAGAACACACAAGCCCGGTCCAGTAGGTGAGTCTCAGATGCCCAGCGGACACGGCCTCTGCTGGCACCAGCACCCATCAGGGCGTGGATCTACAGTGGGGCAATTCCCCTGGGCCCAGACCCGGGGTACGAGGGAAGAGGGGCAGCCCCAAATACCCCACAGCTGGCTGCTGCCCCGCGCTCCGTCTCGGCGCCCGTCCAGTGACCTCCCCGCCAGTGATTAAACCTCGGCCCCGCAGACTCCCCTCCCACACCCGAGGCCCTGGCACCGGCCCTGGCACCGGCCCTGGGGCAGAGCCGGGAGAGTTAATCCGAACCGCCTCCCCGCCGTCCCCGGGGTCAGGTCGCCGGGGGCGCCTCCCATTGGCCCCGCGGAGCCGGCACGGCGCTGATTGGCTGAGGCCGCCCAGGCTCCCCATTGGACGCTGCGCGCCGTGACTGGGGCCGGCGGTCCCGCCTCTGCAGGTTACCCGGGCGAAGGCGCTGCGACTCGCGCAGCTACCCGGGGACGCTCACCCCTGGCCTGAGTCCCGACTGACTTCCTCGATCCAGATCTCGCGGCTATCCCGGGGACGTCAGCGGATCTTCTCCCGGATCCTTTTTCCTCCATAACCTGCTGGGGTTATTTTTCTTGCTCCCCGGCTTCCAGTTCCCAGCCCCGCGTTTTTCCCTTCCCCTATTTCCCGGGCCCCCAGCAGCCTGCCATTCTCAGCATCCCACCTGCCATCCTCCTGCTGGCTTCTGCCAATCTCAGCTCCTTTGGCCGACAGACCCCTATCATTACCTTCTCGCCAAACTCTCCTAAACTCCTCTTTCTTCTCTCTTTGCCAGCTCCTGACTTCCAAATGCCAGCTAACTTTTGACCTGACATTTGACCCTGACACTTACTTGACTCCAGAACGCTACATTCCTACCTCCTGCAGCCTGTTGAAACAGGTCTTTCCTGATTTCTTCTGACCGCGTTCCTGAAGCTCCTTTCGACTTTCTTACTCCTGGGCCAGTCCTTGCTACCACTACCCCACCATGGACTTCTTGATGAGTGGCCTGGCAGCCTGTGGGGCCTGTGTGTTCACCAACCCCCTAGAGGTGGTGAAGACCAGGATGCAGTTACAGGGAGAACTGCAGGCCCCCGGCACCTACCAGCGGCACTACCGAAACGTCTTCCATGCCTTCTTCACCATCGGCAAGGTGGACGGCCTGGCTGCCCTGCAGAAGGGCCTGGCCCCTGCCCTCCTATACCAGTTCCTGATGAATGGCATCCGGCTGGGCACCTATGGGCTGGCTGAGGCTAAGGGCTACCTGCACACAGCTGAAGGCGCCCACAGTCCTATCCGAAGCGCAGCAGCTGGGGCGTTGGCTGGGGTCCTGGGAGCCTACTTGGGGAGCCCCATCTACATGGTGAGAAGAAGGGTCTGGCCTGGGGCCTTCAAGGCAGACGTTTGGTGTAGGGTGGGGACCGGGGCCTTCCTTCATAATCTGATACCGAGGTTGGAAGTGGACTTGTGTAGGGGAGGGTGGGGGATTCGAGCATCATACTTCAGGAAGTGTAAGGACCAGGGGAAGTCCTGGATATCACAGAATTAGTCTCACAGTCGGCCCCTTCTAGTCATCTCGTATAGGTGAAGGGTCTGTAGCCTGAAGCTCAGAGAAGGGAAATGGCAGCTCAAGGTCACACAGCTGCTTACTGCTAGGACTAGGCCCTGCTTTGTGCTCCTCCTGAAAGACCGAGAGGGAGAGCATGAGATTGAGGACAGTCGCCTCCCCAAAGCAAGCTGAGCACATGCCCCCATGAGGCTTTGGGGTCAGAGAGCAAGTTTTGTTCATGATCTCCCAACCTACTCCGGAGCCTGAGGGGGAAGCCTGATCGTGCTGGGAGCTGGAGGTCCACTTGGGAATAGGAGCTGGCATCCAGGTCTTGCCCAAGATGAATAATCTTAGGAAATGTTGCCATTCTTTAACCTCTCCATTCCCCACCTCTGGCCCACAAGGGAAGGAGGAAGTAGAGGAGGCGGAGTGTCTGTGGTGCTAGGAGATCCACCCTCCCCAGGGGACTGGAGCCAAGAGACAGAATCTCATGACCAATTTGTTAAAGGGGAACAACAATAATTTTCAGGCCAAAAGGATTTTCATTGTTGAACACCCTAGAGGAAGTGTGAGGGGTTCAGGTGCTTGGGTCTCTGAGGTGAAAGAATGGTCACTGGGTCGTCAGTTGTGATCCTCTCTCGTCCCCAGGTGAAGACACACCTCCAAGCACAGGCAGCCTCAGAAATTGCTGTAGGGCACCAGTATAAGCATCAGGTAAGATGTTCCCAACCCCACTGGAGTCTCTGCCATTCTCTCCCATTGGCCCCAGCTTCCTGTCTGCACCCAACAACTCCAGCCCAGCCAAGGCTCTGCTCAGCCAATCCATTCAGCCTCCCTCTGCCCCTGAAGTCCACCCAGGCCCTCTTTCCCACACGTTCCCGTTCCTGTTTCTCTGCACCTGTTTCTCCTGCCCTGTTCCCCTGGGCTGCTAATGTCCTCACTCCCGTGCTCCCTAGTCTGGGAAGGTAAGGGGGGGAACAACGAGGTGACAGACAACTGAAGGGCCACATTCTGGTGTTAAACACACACAACTGTTGTCCAGACATGAATGCCTGTTAAGGACCCATCCTTAGCAGTGTTAGGAGATGGCAGCCCCTGATGCCAGGGTGACTAAACCCCACCTCATGGTCTTCCCCTACCAGGGCATGTTTCAGGCGCTAGCCAGGATTGGCCAGAAACATGGTCTGGTGGGGCTGTGGCGTGGGGCCTTGGGCGGCCTACCCCGAGTTATCGCCGGTTCCTCCACCCAGCTGTGCACCTTCTCATCCACCAAGGACCTTATAACCCAGTGGGAGGTACTGCCCGGGAAAGGGGTGGGGCCGCCATGGGAAATGTGGGCAGGGGGGAGTACAAGCTGAACTGAGCCCTAGAGGGGTGAGGAAGTGGCAGGATGGCTTGGGGGTCAGCTGCTACACCAAGCATGTCAAACTCAAAGGCTAACACGGGCCAAATAAACAAGATTTAAGTGTATGTGGGCCGCAAAAAAACAAAAGCTTCAATATGCATAGAAATGTAGGTTTATTTCGATAGAGACATGCTGAATACAAAGGGCTGAAATAAATGAATCGTCATTAACATAATAGGACATTTTAATAAAAATTGGTATTTTTTCTTGAACATTAACTTACCAGACACTGAATAACTGCACAAATTAATAAGTGAAATGCAAGTAAACCTGTTTTTCTTGTTCTCCAAAAGCGAAATATTTCCCGTTGCTCACACCAAACAAGTCAGTAGTCCAAGACTAATGACGTGGCCATCGGCTGCTAAAATATTCGCTGCCGGTATTAATGGAGAGAAATGGTAGATGAACGTAAGGCGCATAAGGGAAATGAATGCAACCCGATGATAGTAATTAGTGACTAGCAAATGTTGTTCGTTATTAATAATTATGTATAACGGGATATTGTAAAAATTAAGTTACAAGTTTTTTATTAGAACGTTCCTTCCATACCATTATATTGGCTGGGCCACACAAATATTCCTTATGGGCCATGAGTTTGACATGCCTGTGCTATACCCTTCCCACAGCTCTTGTCGCTCCCTCTCAGGTGTACCTGAGCCTTCACAGTGTCATCACACTGTATTAACGATAGAGCGGAAGCTCCCAGAGTTATCAGCTCTCCTGGATTCCCAGAGCAGGCCCTGCCCTTACCTAGGCGTTGAATGATTGACTGATGGAGCTCTCCCTCCCTCCCTTTAGCTATTTCCTCCCCAGAGCTGGAAGGTGGCTCTGGCAGCTGCCATGGTGAGTGGCGTGGTGGTGGTCCTGGCCATGACACCCTTCGATGTGGTTAGCACAAGGCTCTACAACCAGCCCACAGACACTCAGGGCAAGGTAAGGGAGTGCTCTGTGGTCCAGGCAGGCAGGGAAAAAGGAAGGGGGGAGGAGCAGATTGCAGATGCAAGCAGGACACAGGCTAACAGGTAGCCTGAAGGGGGGGACCCCCTGATGGGCTCTGACAAACTCCTTCCCTGTTCTCTCCCTCCTTCTCCAACCTGCTCGCAGGGCCTCATGTACCGAGGGGTGCTGGACGCTCTGCTGCAGACGGCTCGGACGGAGGGCGTTTTCGGCATGTACAAGGGCATCGGAGCCTCCTACTTCCGCCTCGGCCCGCACACCATCCTCTCGCTCTTCTTCTGGGACCAACTTCGCTCCCTCTACTACGCGTACGCCAAATAGCGGCCACTCTCCACACGCCACCGCGCTGGCACTCCTTGGACACTCCTGCCTCCATTACTATGTCCTGGTGACGTCTTAGCAGGCGACCTCTTACCCATCAGAGGGGGACAGCCAATCCCATTCCCTATCTGTTTTCTCAGGGTTGAATCACTCCAAGAGGTAGTTTCCCTCCCCTCCTCGGGTGTCACTTTAAACTCTCTCTACCTGTCCCCCAGTACATTTCACTCCGAAGTATACTACCCCCCCCCCCCCTGCTTCTTCACTGCCAGCCTTGGGTCCCTTCTGATGACATGTACAACTTTAAAATCCCCCTCAAAGACCAAAGGGAATTGGGGGGGACCCAGGTGTCCTGTTAGATTCAAAGGCACAGAGATTATATTGGTTATAAAGCAAGTTTATTTCTGCAGAGAGGTGTCTTATGTTCATACACAGGGAAGGAGTTTGGGGAATATATCCAACCCTTTGCTCCCCTTGCGGAATGGGGCCCCCAAGACTTCAGCAGCATCGTGTAGCATTTCAGCATCTTTACTGGGGGCCAAAGATGTCGGGATCATGAAGAGTCAGACTGGTCACCAGCCGTTCAAAGTCACCCAGGCTCCAGGGTGGAAATGACAGGTTTTCAGGGTCAAGAGATGACCTGTCGTCAGGGCTTGGGAGTGGGGGAACAGACAGGGAGAGAACATCATCCAGGCCTCCTGTTTGGAAGTTACCCCCTTTCCTGTTCCTTGGATGACCCGGGTATCTGTGACCCCCAAACCTCTGGCCCATTCCCACTTCCTTGGAGGACCCCACCAGCCTGCTTCCCTGCTCTGCTCCTCCCAGCTGATTCTCCTGGGGACCCCACCCTTGAGCCATGTGCCCTTTCTGTCCTCCTTACGGGGGCTGATTGAAGGTGAGCAGGAGATCAGTCTGGTACCGAGTCAGCCTCAGCAAGGCCTGGTGCAGTGTCACATCCTTTGCTGCCTAAAAGGATCAGCGTCAGGATGTTCTGGGGCCACCCTCTTCACCCCCTCCAGGCCACCTCACAGCCACCGGCCCTTACCTGCTGGTTCCCTTTAGCTACCTGCTGCTTGCCTGAGAGGAACCAGGCTTCTTCACAGCAGCCCCTCAGGGCGAGGTTCTCCAAAAGGAGGGGCTGCACAGCCTCCACGTGAACAGCCCTAGCCCCCTGCACCCCACCAACATCCTCAAAGTGGTACCTGGCGTGGGGAGGAGCAGGGTCAGGAAGGGGCATCCCTCACCGTCGCCCCACAAGCATCTTTAAGTCTGGGCTCCGCTCACTTTGGGTGATAGCGTTGCTGCCCTTGGAGTTCTCATCGCCCAGATGGAACGGCCAGCATAGGCCCCGCCCACTCCCCGGGTCCGGCCCTCCCATTGGCCAGCCACGGTCTGCCCGGCTCACCGCGCGGCCGCCTCTCCCCGCACGTGGGCCTGCAGCTCCAGAAGCTCCACGATCAGGCTCTGGTCCGTCACGCGGTGGCAAAACACTTCTTGGTTGTCCGGGATCGGTCGGAGGTCGCTGGAGAGAGGCGAGGCAGGCACGGGTTGAACACGGCCCCTCTCCGCAGCCCCACCCGGTCGGCCTCCTTCCGTGTGGGGGCTTCCTCACCTGACGTCAATGGCCCCGACAGGGAGCGTGGCGGAGAAGGCGCCCCCAAACAGTGGGTAGTCTTGCGTGGGCTCCATGGGCCAGGAGCTGGAGAGATTTAAAAGAAATCTACACGGGGCCACGCGGCATCACCACCCTGCGTTTCGCCCCCGCCCTCACCGGTCTTCTTCGGCTCCGGCCCTTTAAGATGTGGCCCCGCCCTGCGATCGCGCCGGCCCGTGGGCGCCCGCGCCTCCGCCGCGGCCCTCGGGGCCGCTCCCAGAAGCCTGGTCCCTCGGCGGGCGCGGGCGGGGCCGCGGGGTCTCCTGGGAGCTGAAGCCTGGTTCTGGGTTTGTGACGTCATGGGGCGGCTAGCTCGCGCCCGCCCGTCTCCTCCTTTTAAAGGGGCCGCACGTTCTAAGAATGTTGCGCTGAGACCCTCCTTAGGGGTCGTTAAGTGACCGGTGTCCGAGTCCGGGGGGACTGTTCTCCGTCACCCAGGCCCTTCCAATAGGCTTCTTGATAGCGAATGAGCTGCCTGATCGCTAATTCCCGGATGGGGCCAGGTGTGGGGCCGGGTTAGGATTCAGGCCTCACCCCTTCCTGAAAGCAATACCCAACCCAGAGATTATATAGCTAATCCTTCTCAAATCTTCGCCTTGGGAACACGGTGAGGGAGTGGGGAGGCGGGCCCATACCGCCCCACACACACCTGGACCTAAACACAGATTGTTTTCCTTGCACAGTTTAAGAGTGTCCTTAAGTTTCTGCTCAGTTCTATCCTCCCAGCTAATCTCCCCATTCATCTTTGATTCCCAGCACCTGGCAGAGTGTTTGGAACATAACAGCCCCATTATGCATTGAGTGATTAAATACACGGTTCTGGAACCCAGGGGACCACTCCGGCCCTCAGCCAAGAACAGAGTAAGAGGATCCTCATCCTAAGGCCATCCCACCCACAGGGGATTCCAAGTACTGACCATACCCCTGGACCCTAATAATTTTGTAACACTGGGGCCAGAGGGCACATATATTTGGGTACCTTACTTTGCCAGGCGCTGTGGGAAGGGCTGGAGATACAAAGACAGGACACAACCCCTGCCTCACCAGAAGGATACAGGGAACTGTAGAGTAGTACACTTTGAGTCTTACAGGTTGACTCAGAAATCAGGGTAGCCTAGTGTGAAGAGCGGCTACAGCGTTTGGACAGGTTCAAGTCTGGGACTAGTGAGAAGACACGATCCGCTCGTGGCAAAGCCATGTGCAAGCCCTCCCAGCACAATTATAGCCAAAGGCTATAGTTGTACGCTTGACCTTGTGGTCCAAACCTGTGGTCCCAAGTAGCTAAGTGATAAGGGCTGCGGGAGGTGCAAGTAAACAAAGCTTGGTCAGGTGCATGAAATTGAATGGATTCTAAACCTGCAAAAACTTGTAACAATGCCTTTACTTTGCCTCATGGAATCTGGCTATAAAATAAAGACTCTGCTTACAGGCTGTCTCTCCATCAGAGAAGCAGTGTCCCACCAAGACCCAGCTTTATTCTCTTGTCTGTCTTTTCTAAATCCTTCACCGCTCCCTCTCAGTTCACCCATGGCACAGCCTAGGGATACTTTAGCCAGGGAAACATCAGGAGCAAAGACTTGGAGATGAAAGGGGAAGTCCAAGTACAGACATGGAATGGGTTAGGTATGTTCTTCCAGGTGGTAAGAAGAGGACCTCCATGAAGTGACAGAGGTGAGGGGCCAGACCTCCTCTGAGAGAGTGGGGTTGAAGGCCACGCTAACTTAGCAAATTTCCACTCTTGACTCAACTTCTCTCTCACCCTTCACCTCTTTCTTTGTGTCTGTCCCTTCTTCTGGACCTCCCAACTGCTTTTCTCCCATGCATCCCCTTAGCAGTTTGGTGAATCCCCTGGACCACTACTGGGAAAAATGTTTTTAAATTCATCAAATAAAAAAATATAGAAGTACACCGAAACCGGTTTGGCTCAGCAATAGAGCGTCGGTCTGCAGACTGAAAGGTCCCAGGTTTGATTCCGGTCAAGGTCATGTACATTGGTTGCGGGCACATCCCCGGTAGGGGGTGTGCAATAGGCAGCTGGTCGATGTTTCTCTATTATCGACTTTCTAGCTCTCTATCTCTCTCCCTTCCACTCTGTAAAAAAATGAATAAAATATATTTTAAAAATATATAGAAGTACAAAGGAATGAAAATATTTAAATACAATTATCAAATTTAAAACCCCAGATTTTTAATATAATAAAAAATGTGCTCTTTTGATATTACATTAACAAGATTTGGCAGTGGGTCTAATAAGTGTAATGCAAACCAGTGATACACATGAATCATAGTTCAGATGATCTCTCACCAGAGAGAGACTATCTGATCACTGGTATGACACTCTCTGTTACTGTGCTTTGTTATCTACAGTCACCATGTAAGAAAATGCTAACTTTTAGGTAAGAGGTCATTGAAAATAAATGTAGTTTTTTTTCATCCAAGTTGATGTCTGGAGCTTAGGAAACCCAGCTATTAACTGTGTGCCCAAACCATGCACTAGGCTTTCTGGGAGAAAACAAGAACATGTAAAACATGGGAGCTCTTACTGAAACCGGTTTGGCTCAGCGGATGAAAAGGTCCCAGGTTTGATTCTGGTCAAGAGCATGTACCTTGGCTACAGGCACATCACCTGTGGGGGATGTTTCTAGCTCTCTGTACCTCTCCCTTCCTTTCTGAAATTAATTTAAAATATATATTTTAGCCCTACCCTGATTGGCTCAGTGGATAGAGCGTCAGCCTAAGAACTGAAGGGTCCCAGGTTCAACTCGTCAAGGGCACGTGCCCAAGTTGTGGGCTGGATCCCCAGTGGGGGGCTTGCAGGAGGCAGCTGATCAATGATTCTCTCTCATCATTGATGTTTCTATCTCTCCCTCTTCCTCTCTGAAATCAGTAAAAATATATTTTTTTAAATATTTTTTTAAAAAGCAGTCAAGCCAAAACCGGTTTGGCTCAGTGGTAGAGCGTTGGTCTGGAGACTGAAAGGTCCCAGGTTCGATTCCGGTCAGGGGCATGTACATTGGTTGCGGGCACATCACCTGTGAAGGAGGCAGCTGATCGATGTTTCTCTCTCATTGAAGTTTCTAGCTCTCTGTCCCTCTCCTTTCTTCTCTGTAAAAAAAAAAAAAAAAATTAAAAAAAAATATATGTATTTTTTAAATCAATCAATAAATACATATATAAGTGGAACAAATCAGTTCTCTCTCTCTCTCTAAAAAAAATCAAATAAAAATAGAAAAGTTAAGAAATGTTGTAGAATAAAGAACTTGACTGTCTGTGGTTCCTAGGAGGGAAATTCTAAACCCTTGGAATTTCCCTAGCAATAGGAGTTCTTTGTTACTCATAATGGGCCCTGATAGTTTATACTACTGAGATGATTAGATAGTTTATGCAAAGGAAAGAACCAGGATGGGTGGGGGAGGCCACATCAGAAAAAACAAGCATGTGATGAGAGGGTTAGCACTTTGAGCCACTTGTTAACCAATAAAACTCTAATAAAAATTCTGGACACTGATGCTCAGGGAAACTTCTTGGTCGGTAAACATATTAATGTGCCAGGAGGGCGGTTGGTAAACACAGTAATGTGCTGGGGGAAAGGGCATGAAGATGTGCTTTTGGGACCCTTCCAGACCTTGCCAATGTATATTCTGACAATGAAATGGTCATCATAAGTATAGCAGTTCCCTGAGTTCCGAGTTATTCTTGTAATTACTGAACCTGTGAGGATGGCAGGAACCCCTGAATATGTGGACAGCCTGGGAACCCATGAGATTTATGGCTGGCATCTGGAATTAGGGCAGTCTTACAGAAAACTGAGACCTTAACTGGTGGGATCTGATGCTAAATCTTGATGGTCAGCACCCGAACTGTATAGTAGTAGTATGTCTAGTTAGTGTTAGACCAGTTGGGGGTGAAATAGAATAAGAACCCATTATACTTTATCCAAGTTCAAGGAGGTGAGGGTCTGCACTAGTTTATAGAGGACGAGTTCCCATAACAGCTCTTCAAAACCTGATGGATCCCCATGGAGAGGAGGAAGGCAGGTCATATTCTCAAGGGTGAGGCGAGTTTTCTTGGGCTGCAACCCCAACTAGGATCCGTGTCTCCAACCCAGTTGGAATGGCCCCTGTCCCTTCCCCTGGAACCTCTGGAAAGGTGCCATTGGGAGTCTGAGTATCAGACTCCAAAATGCCTCTTAATTTGGCTCTTTTCACCTGCTTTATTTCCTTGTATAGGTGAGGTGTTTGGGAGTGGGGGAGCTGTCTGTACCATGTTGGGAAAGGATCTAGGGAAGAGAGGTGGAGTGAAGACAAGGTCAGCAGAGCTAGGATCCAGTGGTCAAGGAGAACAGGCCGGCCTCTCTAGTGTCTTCTGTTGCCCTGGATACCTTCCCAGGGGCATCCCAGGATATTCCAGTGACTCACGCAATGGGAAGCTAAGCCAGTCAACTGGTTGGACTGTAAAGTTAACAGTGCCATTTCTCCTCAGTCTCCCCCTTTTCTGCCAACCCCTTAAATGTTGCGTTACCAGGACCTACACACTCCTCCTAGATAACCTTACCCATGCATATACCAGTGTCTCCCAAACCTTCATGGCCACCCAAGATCTTTTTTATTAAGTATTTTAAAAAATATTTTATTGATTTCAGAGAGGAAGGAAGGAGAAATAGAAACATCAATGACGAGAATTATTAATCAGCTGCCTCCTACACACCCACTACTGGGGACCAAGCAGGCAACCCCTGCATGTGCCCTGCCAGAGAATCAAACCCGGGACCCTTCCGTCCAAAGGCTGAGGCTTTATCCACTGAGCCAAACCAGCAAGGGCCCCAAGACCTCTTCTGACTGCCTCCTGAATACCCCAAATTCATGCCCCACCAATGCCTCAAACTTAACACATCCTGCCGAAACCGGTTTGGCTCAGTGGTAGAGCGTCGGTCTGCGGACTGAAGGGTCCCAGGTTTGATTCCGGTCAAGGGCATGTACCTGGGTTGCGGGCACATCCCCGGTGGGGGTGGGGGGTATGCAGGAGGCAACTGGTTGATGTTTCTCACTCATCAACGTTTCTAGCTCTCTCTCTCTCTCCCTTCCTCTCTGTAAAAAATCAAAAAAACAAAAACAAAAACTTAACACATCCTAAACACAGCACACCTTCCTCCCAAACATGTGCCATCTACTGTGTTCCTATTACAGCTGATGGAATTACCACCCACCAATGAACCCAGCAATTAGTCTGGGCATTGGCTCTTCTTTCTCTCCTCATATCCAGACCCTAAAGATTTGACCTCCGAATGTCTCT